TTTTGAACAGCTATTTTTAAGACAAGTTTTATCAATCTCTGAACTCAACCATCCCCTACAGGAGAACTTTAATACCCAGCTTCATCTACATGGAACTTTTCCCAAAAATATACATGACTTCTAGAGAATTCCTTATATACATATACTGCATTATGCTATGAGCTCTTTCCTAAGATAGAGACAAGCAACTAATCTGAGGACAAAATATACCTTAAGAAGAGTGAACAAACTCTACTTCACTCTGATGTTATTTTATTACAATCTCGAAAAATCTCTGCTCTGGGAATACATCTCCCTCTTTCATGCACGCATACTTGCAGTTTACATTGTGGTCTTTCTTTTTCTTCAAATTTAATTTGAAACACTTATGTCTGATGAAGGTCAAAAGATTTGAAGGAGCTGAAAAATCAGATTATATAGTTTTACAGGGGAAAAAAGGACTGCTTTATTTAGTAAAAGGTTGTCTTTGGAAGTATTAAAATACAAACCATAAATACAGAGAAGTCAGTAATGTAAATATTAACCGTTTCCAGTTAATATGAACCACAGGCTATAGAAAATATTTCTGATAAATATAGCTTATGAATGAAAATAAAAGCAACTAAATTAAAAAGGTACTGAACATAAAATGTAGCTTTTGCTACTCTATTTTATAGAAAGCTTTTTTCTTGGAAACTGTCAATACATCAGAATTTAAATGAATACTCAGAGCACAAGCATTAGACCTCAAAATGATTAACCACAACTAACCTAATTGAATCGGCAGTCATGCTGCATCCTTAGATTTTCAAGGTCTTCTATTCTTCTGTCAACAATACACCTACATATTGCAGAAAACAACTGCCAAGACCACATGCCACTGCCATATAAATAACATTTCAGCAGTTTGAAAATGTATTGCCATAGAATGTGTTAAAAGTATAAAAATCTATTCCTATGAAAAATGGAAGTATAAGAAGATTTTATTAAATCAAGCTATAAACTGGATGTCCCCAGAGAAAGAAAAGCTGAAAAAACTACAGGACCATCACAAACATATGGATTTAATACCTACTTATTTTTATGTATTTCTTACAGCTTATTAAGCAGTTTCCTTTTCTAATATTAAATCTCTTTCTCTTACAGATTAATTCACTTTTAGATTGGTCCAAGGATGTAAAACTTTTTCATTCATCCATCACCTGGGCTAAAAAAAAAAAGAATGAATGATTTTCAGTTTGAATGCAGTACGCTAAGACAAGAGACCCATGTCCAAAACTACTATGCACCTCTCAAATACATATGGATGGTCTCTACATTGCATTCTTTAATAAAGATGATGCTTATCCCTTTATTTGTTCTAAGAGATTAAACAAGGAAAAGTAAAAAAGCTTAAAAGTAAAAAATATATAAAAACCAATAATCAAATATACAGACTTCTATTTAGAGCTTACATTTTGTTAAGGATTTTTTTTCTTTTTTTTTTTTTTTACTTACATGCTTTAGGAAAAAAATCAAAGTTCAAAAGGAGTCTGTTCCACAGAGCCAAGTGATTACAGTTGTTGTCTACTGGGAAATGAGCCTCTCTCTCACTCTCTCAGTCATGAAATAAGTCCCAAACTGTCTGCTGTGCCAAACTGCATTCAGATACCTCTTAGCGCCACCAGGGTCTTCTTCAGAAGTCAGTTCTTACAATACCTGGACTCTTCTCACCCCCAAAGCTCCCATCTTACTACATAATACTGAGGTGTTCTTACCAATGTACTTTCAGATAAATTAATCAAGCTGCACAGAAAAAAAAATACTAGGCAAAGGAAAAAAAAGAAAAAAACCCAGATACTACATCTTCTGGGCTGCACTATTTCCTTGCCGTACTCTTTCTTAGAGTCCTAAGAAAGATTTCCTACCTATTGTTCATCATGGGAACAGTCCTAAACCAAGGCTGTAAAAACAAAATCTGTTTTAATTATTTTTTGTTCCTAATCACCAAGCATATATAATAATCCTACTTTCTAATTCATTGATTTGGGTTTTTTTTAAATCTTACATGGACTGGAGAAATCAACAGGGTCATACAAAGAGTTCTGACAGTAATAGGCACTCTCCAACAGAAAGACGGCAATCAATTATAAACCATTTGCAGAAATTGCAGGGCTGTCACAGACTCGTTTACAGCTGCGGTTCATCAAGTCAGGCTGCATTTGATTGCCAAGCCATTTTTTCCACTACATCTAAAAAACTAGGACACCCTCAGTTAACTCTTAAAAACATCATTAGCATTACTGTATTCCACCCAGAGAACTCAACTGCAATATGGTGTGGGAAACAACTTCAACAAATTATGCACAACCCAACAGAACTGCTAGACATGACAGAGACTGCAGGATGGAGGGAGGCCAGGGAGCAAATCCATCTGCCTGTTTCCTTCCAGAACCGATGAAATTAGCAGCTGCAACATAATTTAGAGCAGTGATTCTCAACCAGGGTGCTATGGCACCCTGGGGTGCCATGAGATCTTTTACAGGCTGTTGTGGGGTGCCGTGTAGAAATCCGCAATGTTAAAACAGCCTGCCTTGTTCTGGTCTTAGTTCTTTGCAGCAGAAGAATCATTCAATTATTTTTTTCTGTAGTCAAAAAAACAAGTGAAAGCTAAGAGCTGGCATCTTCTGAGGGGTGCCTTGAGTCTAACACAGTTGAGAACCACCAATTTAGAGGATCACTGTAGCTTATTCAATTTCCCGCTGTACTGTAAATTAACTTCTCTCCGTTTTTATAGCTATCCCCAGTGAACTCTCTAAAAGTTCATATCTTCTGGTGTATTTGATAAAGACACAGGAACAATTTTGACAAACGCCTTTGTTTTTCATTTTGGCAATGAAATATTTCTACTTCTTTCTACAAAGAAGAAACAAACAGGATCCAATCTGCTCAGTTTATGTCCCTGATTTATTCACAAATTCCTGTTTTTCTTTTTCCAAAACATGCATACTCACTGGGCAAGATAGAGGGCACAAAAGGATCCTCCTGAGCATAAGTATGGTTCAGGCTAGCACTACCAACAATGAGAAACTCCCCAGTATGTGCATAGATGCCAGAATCAGATGATAGCAGGCGTTTTAACCCCCAAAGTTCCTCAGACAACAATGCACATCTACATCACCCCTAATGAGTAAACAATGAATTCCGAGCAGCAAATCCAGCCTTCTACTTCATGACACAAATGGTCTTCTGGAGTTTAACATGTGTGGCAGATGCACGAAGTGTGAAGGTAGGTGTGGAAGTGCCTTGCACTCTGGTACAGCAAAAAACTCCTCTCTGTAAAGGTCCCTTATGCACCCACCCAGAGCTGCATCACCTAGGAAATGTAGAGCTGCATAGTTCTTTCCAGTTTCCACCCCATGGAGAAGCTGTACAAGGTCCCTTGAAGACTACTTCAACTATTAGTTTGGAGTAGCCCACAGAGAGGCCCCAGAAACTAAGGAAAGCAGCTTCTGTGGCCAGCTGCTAGGTAACAAACCTGAGCTAAAAGAAAGATGCATGCTATTATTATGTTCTTTCAAATTGTATAGCTTTATTCATTTTCAGTTTTATTTTTTAAAGTATTTTGGCAAGCTACTTCTACAGTACAAATTATATCATGCTCCAGAGCTAGCAAAAAAAAATAACTATTTTAGTTAATCAAAAAATGCAATGTTGTTATTCAGCACCTGCCCTGAGCCACAACATGCTTCTCAACAAAAGAAAAAACAAAACATTTCCTTAGTCAGAACTGTAATGTCCTCGGAGCCAAGGTCACAAACTGGAAAAAAAAAAATTATCTGGGGTGTAATGCTCTACTACTCTGCTAGAATAATCATACACTCTTGTGATGACAGTTTTACTAATCTGACTTCTTCTCCTAGTGATAACAACAACCAATACCTCTATCAAAACCAATGCTTTCAAAAGCAGCCACTCATTTGGGATGCCCAGGAGAAGACATCTCAGTTCTGACTAAAAGAAGTGCTGAATACTCCCAGCTCTGCCCAAATGTTATGGGAGCTCTGTGCACTTAAAGAGATTTGTAAAAATTAGGATCAAGTTATACCTCTGGAATGGGTACTCAAAAACTGAGGCATTCTATAATTGGTAGCCTCTTCTGAAAGTACCTGTTACCTTGGACAAGTCAACTCTAAAAAAATCATAACAGGATTTGAAATGACAGCAGAAGGAATACGAATTCTAACAGAAAGGGCTAATCAACTAAGACATGTATGGGTGCAGTGAACTGGCAGGCTATGTTCCAAACTCTTGAGACCCAGCTTCAAAGGCTCACCTTTAGGTGACATGAAAAGATGAATTTGGTAATCTCTATTTAGTTCCTATTTGACCACATCACAGTTCTATAAACCATATAATAGCCATGCCCCAGGGGTCCTAACAAGTCAGAGCTGACAAGTTAATGGTATTAATCCTTCCCATTCATAAGTACCAATACCTCTGTTAAGAAAAATAATATATATATATATATATATATATATATATATATATATATATATGCACACACA